GCAAGGGATAGTTCGATGAGAAGATAGTTCTAATGCATAGCGCCGAACACCGTGTACACAATCGAACTTGTGGAATAGACAAACCAAAATTTTGTAAATCCGGACGAAAATTTCATCGGGTAATAATGACGTTGTAATGACATAATCCTCTTTTCATGCAATCCGCCACCCCACAAACACTTCAGTCATGCTTCAGTCTGACTGTAAACATATGATCATGCCAGACGGCATGCCACTCACAAGTTGGGAAAAAACTATGTTATTATAACTCATCCAAGAGGAGGTTAGAGCCGGGTGAAAAATCTGCTCGTTGTTGCAACTACGGGCCCGAGTGTGTGAGGGGTTGCGGTAAGATTCTGTCATCGGTCGGCACGCCTAAGTGCTAGTTCCACCAGCTGCTAATTTTGAGTCATTGGATAAGTCTGTCTTCATTGACCTAAGCCAAGCTTCAAACTTTGACAGCAGCTGCCTCAAATTCCCCAACTGGCTGTCGTACATTCTGGGTGGTCACAGGTTTACACCCACACGGAGCTTCAACGTAAACAAAAATTCATCTAGCTCTACATTGGTCTGGGTCTACCAGCTACAATCATCTCGTCTTACTTGAATCCAGCTGCTATGAAGTGCACATTTCATTTGATTACCGCAAGCTTCATCCCCATTTCGGGTCTGTCCATAAAACGAAGTGTCAGTGCAATGACGCTGCGGCACTGCCAAGCGCAGTCTGACAGCATCCCAAAGTAATTTTCTTTTTACTCTAGACTGTCTTCGCTCTCTTATTCCCGCTTTTTATTGTAACGGACAGCAAATTTTTACTTAGTCCAACCAACCTCTTGGACGAGTTCGTTTGAACCAGCCAAGCCCTTCGATTGTATCTAATTATCCCGGTTCCACGATTTCAGTTTACCATTTTTATAAGTGAAATGATATTAGTCACGATGCTGTTTGGCCCTATGCATTAGTGCCACATCTCTCTTGTAAATGTCTTCTACACATGAATTCCATCCAAAATCGGCAACAGTAAGTCAAGTCAATTTTAGTGTAAACCATATTTTTGAGACCAAACTTGCCTTTTGTTGCCGTCTCGGGATTGTTAATATTGCCGTCGCCATTTGTGCTTTTTTGGCCATAGCCACTTACTAAGCCATTCAAAGTCACTCACGTTCAGTAACCGGTTTTTTGGTTCAAATCAACCCAGTCGTCCCCATGCCTCGCTCTAGCTTTTTTTATCAATCTACGATTACTTATCACGTTAAAAGCGTGCTTGTTCATTGTTTCTTCCCTCTTTGTAGTGGTGTTACCCATCAAGTTCAAATCCTAACGGTCCGACCATGTCTTAATTCGTATGCCCCCTACCCGATGGAAAATAATCTCATTTTTTATCATTTGCTTACTACCCTGCGTAGTGCTCGTGCGATCCCTGGGTTGCATTCTCGATGCAGATAGCTTTTGCCCTGCAAGAATAGGAAATTTTGGCTCAGTTCGTTTGACCATCCTCGACGCAAGACTCCGCAGCGTTATTCTTCATAGACAGGAACCACGTGCATGTATAGAGCTTTCAAAAAGTGCACGGATCTGCAAGGCTTGCTGGGGTGGGAGCTTATCACAAAAAAACCGCACTGTTGTTCCTGGCACACAAACAAGTCCAGGATGCTATTGCTCAGGAGTAGCGTTTCACCGTACTGCCAAACCAAAGCAACAGATCTGCGGAAGTACAAAGCGGGAGATAATAGAATTCATGGTTTTCTTTCACATACACAATTGGGTAAACATGTTCCCTAGCTAACAGTCAGGGACTCATCAAATGATTGTTTGTGGGGTCACTGCTTGTTCTGTCAAGACTGCGGGTATTCATTCGATGAGATGTTTTGCTTGTCGTGCTTCTAGACCTGTAGCTTCATCCTCAACTGATTCATACGGAATTATCATTTTGCGAAATTGAACAAAAACGATTTGCAGATATTGGTATAGACCAGAAATACGGGTTTCATAAGCGTATTTATAAATACTAGCCTTTAAAAAACACCGAAATACTTCATTCAAATTTCATGCCTCCAAAGAATCGTTCACTTGTTCACCCCGCTCAATCATTGCTTCCTGCGTGAGCTGAAGCTGGTTATGTCACTTTTATTTAGGGCGCGCACTAGGTTCAATGCCACTGACGGTTGGTCGTAATTACCACACACACATTAAAAGCCGATGGCCCCAGCTCAGCACCTAGATTCTGAATAATAATGCTATTCTGTTGGTTCCAACTTTCCAGACCCACCGTCATAATCGAGATCATAACCTCTGTTTAATACTCATCCTTTGCTGCTGTGCAATCATGGTTTGTTCAAAGGTTTCTTGGTGTAAAAATACCGGGTGTGGGAGAAACTCAGTGCTAGCCCGCCGAAATTCCAAGGTTAGAAATTTGGGAAAGAAACTATAAGAAAGAACGTTATTGAAACCGAAAAGCATGCATAACTTGCAGCCTCCTTTACCGGGCGCAGTAAGTGTCACGCGGCCCTCACTCTGGTAGGAGAGTAGCACCGACATCGCCCAAACGTTTATTAGTCCCCTCCATACCCTTCTTCTAGCTCAAGAGTTGTCCAAATATCTGCCAACGCGACCCAGAATTGTAAAAAGAAGAGCATTTTTTCAACAGATAATATTTTGGTATGCGCAATATACGGCCAAACTAAATCAATTTCTGGTGCTGAACGATTTCTTCGACGAAATTCTTTGTTACAAAACCAAGCGCTAGCTCTCTTATTGTCTTATCATGGATTCTCATGCATCAGAATACACGAGCTATGGTTCTGAGACAACGGTTGTCGAACACATGAAGGCGTTTCAGTAAGGCTGCTGGAACAGGCAGTATCACAGTTATAAACCAAAAGAGCCTGCACTATAGTCCGATTGCAGAGATACCGTCAACTAAACATTCACCGGGACGGAATCTCGTTTGGTGCACTTGAGTCGGTGTTCTAATAGTTATTATAGAACGACGAAAGAGGAGTAACTGAAAGATCTCTTTACGACTGGAGCCAGGTTGAGACTACTGAACTCGTGTGAAAATGGGCACCATCATCAATTCATCCGAGCCATCCGGGGGAGTCTTTGTTTCATAAATATAGGCCAATAGATCAAATAAGCGGTGAACAAGGACCAAACTCTTATATTTAAACAATACAGATAGCACACCATCATTCACTCCATAAGTTCTATGGCTACGGGGAGAAAGTGGGTAGTCAAAAACTTTTGAGGACGCCAAATTCAGCGGTTCCAAATTCAACGGCCAGGGTTCTATTCGAACTACGGTACCCAAATTAGCAGAAACGGGTGGCCACCGGAGCCACTGTTTGAATAATTTAGCCCAATGGTTAAGGCATTATTTATTCATCATTGTTGTACCATCTAAATTTCGTTGTTTCGCTAACAAGCCTCCCTTGAGAATCAGTCAAGCAAGCATTTTCGATTTCTAGGTTTTACTTATTTCATCTGACACTTTCTGCCGTCAGCCTTGACTTTCAGCGCGCAGGCTCACTTTAACCTGACGTCCGGTAATTTTTTGAGCCGCACTTTGATCGGATTCGTCAGTAGACGTCCCCAAACCTCAGGTGGTGTCACCATTCTGCTTGATATCCAGTCTGATGAACTTCCGGCACCGTGCAGAGCGGCGGTAATCTCATTCCAGCATTGATTCACATCTGATAGTGAAGCGGCTGGAAGTGGATTCTCCTACAATTTGGATTTGGCGGCATAATTCTGGAACTATCCAAGTAAAACCAGTCGTCCTCATGTGTGGGGGAGCCCTCATAATACGACGGTTTTGGTGAAGATGTACTGGCAGAGTTTTTCACAGCCTAACCGACTCGAGTTGGTTGACCGCAAAGGAAACCAATCTCTCTATAGTTCGTCCTGCCCCAGACGATTTCCTTAGCCTCTCTACTGCAAAAAGCCTGGCAAAACGGGTCCGTGGGCCAAACATTAGTTAAAAGGCCTCTTAGAAATCTTGTTCCGTGAACTGCTTCTAAAAAGACATGCCGTATCCAGAAAATGGTAGCTTACTCCAAGTACGCCGAAAGTGAACCAAGGTACGAGGACCACAATGTTAGGGAGAAAGCCCCAGAGTCTATATGGCACACGGGGACTCCTAAAATACCAAGGCTCGGGGAAACGCAGTGTAGTCGCACTAACGAAGACCATCGTTCTGATGGTTCTATCACCTGGCCACCGACGCTCCTCAGGGCGCATATGCTTGGAAGGCCAGTATGACATACCTGCTACGAATGAGGACTGCTTCAGCAGATGAAGGCGTGACACCGACCAGTCCTTTCAACAGACCGAAGGGCTGATTCGGTTAGCAGGTTGTTTACATCTGAGCCAACCAGACTGGAGTTCCCGTACTCTAGATGGCTTCATTAGCACAAGCGTCTTCCACAGTAAAAGCACCTGTGCGCGTTCGTTCAATTATGGTTCGTGTTGCTCTGGAGTTTACTTGTTTAGGGTATTGTCTGTCAGCCGTTTTGAGCTGTGACGTTCGACCCTACTGAAATATCCCATACAATGCGGGCTAAGGTTTGGTTCCTGAAACGGAGTAGGTGCACCAACTAATTCGGCCACCCTGACGTACGAGGGAGTAGAAGTAAACGCAGGCAGAGTTCTCAGACGACTTAATCGTGAGGTTATGCGCTTTTCATCGATCCTGCTTGTTGCATGAAATGCAGGCTGTTAAGCAGAGGGAGGTGTCCCTGTAAATCATTGCTTGTTGACAATACAGATGTCCTCAATGAGTCAGAGATGTTTGCCTAGTAGCAATTTGTAGGGTCTCCGTGTTGTCGCTTTGATCAGGGTGTGATTCGAGGTTTCCTGGCAGTTACACCGTAAAAATCTATGCTTTTTCCAGCTTTGTATAACTTGGGGGCTCCAAAATAGGGTTTGAACTTATTGGAAGCATTTAACCAAAGTGGTCAGTCGTGGGCGGAGACTACTGCCACAACACTATCGGTCTGGTTAAATGCTCCTAACCCTCCATTATGAGCCTCGAGGAACGATTGTCGCTAATGGTGTCCTCGAGCCACTTTCCGGACATATGTATCCATTGAAATGTAGGAGTCGCACGTCAAATTTGTACCGGATCAATGGTGCTTTGTCAGCACAGCGCAGTGACCCTTGTTCTCATTGCTTTAACCTGCGAATATGCATTGCCATGACACAGACATCGTAAGAAATTGGAAGTCACAGTTACACCATCCTGGCAAGTTCAAGACAGGGACATAGCCGATGCCTGATGTGGTTGAATGTGGTAGAGGTAGTCCCGGAGAAAGTTGTTGATGTCTGCTTCTGCAAGTAGGCTCGGGACCATTAGCCGTGCAATGTTCTTAGCTACAAAGCTTCAAGAGCAAAGTAGGAATTCTTGCGCCAAAATGTTGAATTTTGTTGCATTCGTGATCAAACCAAAAATCATTCTAATTTAAGCTCACATTTCTATTTCATTGTGCGAATACTGATTACCAATTTGTCAGCTTAGTAAAAGTATATCAAGCCTTTTGGGCAGTCTGATGGCCTCTCAAATTTGCTGATTCATGGAGCGGAATCGAAGTCCGGCTCAAACCTGCAATTTTGTTTCGTCTTCTCTGGTTTATTTTCACCCTTTTCACTGTGATTAGGATTCCGCGTTTTACCAGGTCAATTTTCGAAATAAATCCCCCAAACAGGTCAACTGTTGTTTTCAAACGACCGATATGACATTCCGCGGATAATAAGGCTGGTCGGTTCAGGTATCCAGGTGCCATGTGGAGTCGTTTATTGGTTATTTATGCTGGAGTCCTCCATCTGATATATTCAAGTAAGCCGACACCCTCCAATTTTTAATAGAAATATAGCTCCCTGTTTTAAACAGCCACTGAGCTTTGGACCAAATTGCTCACTGGTATGTCACTGCCTAGGAGGCGAATGCGACGCTAGAAATGAGGGAGTTGGATGTCTCTCTGGCAGCTGCAGTCCAGGATATACCGGATTTCCGCTGTGTCAGCAACGTAACCACTTACCCAATATTTTATTTTTTTTAATCCTTAGAATGCCCACAGGGGAAATTTGGGATTGACTGTTCCTCAAGGTGCAACTGTGAGCCCGAAAACATATGTGAGCCAACGAATGGAAACTGCATGGGAAAAAACCGATGCAGGCGTCGATACTACGGTCCTGGCTGCCAGGGCGGTTCGTTAACTATTCAATGGTTATATTTCGTTTATAGTTCGTACACAGCTGCTGAACAGCCCAGATGTTTCCACTGACTGCACTGATATAATTTTGTCGTGGCCAGCATTTTCTGGTGCTAACTACTCTGGGTCTTCAGACATCGTGCGCTATGTGTAATGTTTGTTTCACTTATATTTCATCGTCAAATTTAGAGTTCTCTATCGACTGTCCTCTGAAAGCCAGTTAATTCCAGTTAGGTCGCACACGAAACCGACCAATGCAACGCAATACACATATCACTTTGCCCCGAAAGACCAAGATTCAAAGTACGTGTTCAGTGTTCGCGCAGACTTTCGTGTGCCATTTCCACCTGACTATTACACGGAAACTGGCATACCTAGCCCCGTGACAAACCCAATTTCCGCTCAGTGCTTGAGTAAGTTCCGAATTAGATGTCATATTGTGTAACAACGCCCTTCCATGCGCCACGCCGCTTCAGCCTTCGAACTAATATGTGGCTGAACCCATAACTCTGTTACATGACTACGTTGGCAAGGCATACAAGTCTGTGAAAACCCAAATGGCAGCATTCACTGTCAATTTGTGCACTCTCTAGAGAAAGGTTTGAGGGATGAAATCCCTTTGGCCTTTTAATTTTTAATTCATTTTTAATTCATTTTAATTTTGGAATCTAGGCTCTGCATTATGAATATGTCCACCTAAGCTTTTGTAAGATTCGTCAACTATCTGTGGAACCCGTTCTGGGAGAAAATGCGTCAGATTCCTTTGAATTTTTTCAGGGTTTGTGAGCGTAGCTACTTTTTTCAAAACGGTTTCAGGATGCCGCAAGTTTTTAGCTTTTTGTCTTTGGAAGCTTTAACATTTCGGTGAAATCCTCGGTTGAGAAATTCTAGCAACGGTTGATCGTCTTTGCAAGACTCCAATTTTACGGCACTCATGCTATGGTGTTATCCAAATTTGTGCTGTATCACAGTTGCTAGCGGTGCGCTTCACCCACTGACGAGTGACTGTAATTTCTGCCATTTGGTTTTTGCCATCTAATCAGTAATGACGGTTAGGATAGCTCATTTGGTCTCCGGTGGTACACAGACGTCGCAGTGGACCCCTTATTGAATAAATTGTGTGACATTTTATGGGACCCAAACTTAATCAAAAGCAAACAAAGACATAATTTCATTAAATAAAAGTCCTAGTTTTTGCGATTTTGTCGGATAAACAGCAACAGTAACAAACTAAAATTTGGATGTTTCTGAGTTAACGTGTTGTAATATTGTTACATCGGTATAATCGTGAATGCCCTTGCGGGAGGATTTATTGGCTAGAGACAGCTATTTGAAAGCCTTAAAACGCATAAAATGATCACTTTTACCACAAAATAGCTAGGAAGTAAAGTTTTTAACATATGAAAGTTGTTTTGTGGAGTAATGGGCTTGCAAATGGAACTGGTTAATATATTTCGACTGCTACTGGGCCTGTTGAATCACTTCTGAAACACGAAGAATCCGTTATGAGTAATATTAATGTCTATAAGATGAACTTCGACTAACTCAGCACAGACAGCACAGACAAAATCTTATGTACTGTTTGCAGCCCTTATTCGGCAATGCATTATAGACGGGGTGGGGAAAAACAAGTAGTGTGAACTTCGTAATCATTCAGGTTACAAACGATAATGTGCTAGTCATGTGAATCTCTAAAGATTTTACGTTCCAAGAGCTATCATGAAATAACGTGTAGTTTGCAGGACCTTCTTTCTTACCGCTGGCCAAGAGCAGAAACCTCAGAGGATAAAACAGGCATCATATCTTTGGAACGATTTAGCAGTTTACTGTTCTTTCCAATCTAAAGTTGAACATTTACCTGACCCCTTGTAGATAAGAGCAGATTAAAAGTCAACAAATCTTCAAATCACCATTTAAGGAAACTTTAGCAAACGTAGGACCTTGCGGTCAGTTTTATCTGAGTAAAAGACAGGTTGTTTTGAATTATGATTTAGTGTGCGATGTGAAAAGGCTGTTTCTATGACATATCACCTACATTCAAAGGAAGTGACCCGCTTTTGTAGCGGTGTGCGGTGACCTGTTTCAAACCAAGAGTAAGTAACCACGGATAAATAAGTCAAAAGCTACCTTTATTTTGAACATTTTTTCATCTCGGTGACATACTGACCTGTAATTTGCTTTGCTACTGGCTTATATCCTCAACATGCTTAACTTATCGTTTAGGAGAACGGCTCTGCAAATGAATGGCACACAAATTATGTATATAGCTTTTTAACCTTTCCTAGTAGATAAACGGAGCTAATTGAAGCAATATGGCCGCTATCTTCATCTTTTGGAATATTGTTGCCCACCGGCCCTCCTTTTTTCAATTCTAGTTATTGTATGATTTAAATTTGAGGTATTTGTGCATGCCATCATGCTTGCGAATTTTGACTTTGAGAAGAGCAGCTCACTGTTCACAGAGTCAGTGAATGTTTCTGGAAGGACGACTCACTGACAGCAAGTACTTTTGGTCGCACATCTATTCTACATAATGCCCTTATTTTTACTTTCCTAAAATCCCACTGTTGGCTTTTGATCCAGATTATGTCAATGAAATTAGGGTGAAAAGTAATGGTATAATGGGTTCACGCTAGTCCATGTGGGTCAGAAGCAAACATAAGCCAATACGTGTGTCAAGGAAATAGCTTGGTTTGAAACAGTTTGCGCATTGTAGAATGAAGAAAAATTCCGAATGGTTGCTCCCCGCTGGCAGCTTGATCCATGGCTAGATTGCATCTGTTGGCAGCTGTGAAACAAAATGCGAGTTCCCGCACGAAAGATAACTGTAGATTAGGACCAAGCAGTGTCGTCCACATAACTGTAGAAGTTATTTCTACAGTCTACCTCCAGAACGAAAACGCGGATGTGCTTCTTCTGGGCTAATCTGACCAACTCAAATGCTCTAATACTTTCTGATATAACAGTTCTTTTGGTTTTTCAGGAATAAATTCACAATAAATGATGGTGTAAAGGATCACCGGCATAGCTCACGCCGCCTTTGGCTGAAGCGTACAACGACACAAAATATACAGGCTGTTGAACTGAGATGTACCAAGTGTTAGTAACCAGGCCGCCTCAAAACAATTAACATTGTTTATGAGGGTTAGTACAACTAAAACTTTCTATTTATTAAGCTAAGCTGAAGTACATGTGTGTAGCTAACGTGTTTTGGTTTATCAAGACCAAAGCGTTATAAGCTTAGATTTTCACTAAGTGGATGGTGCTTTTTGCCATAAACAGTCAAATACGCGTGTTATGTAAATAAAACAAAAATTTAAGATCTGAAAAAGAGACGTGTGCTTCCCTACTTTATTTGAGAAACAAACATTGTTTAATGGAGCACGAGAAAGATCCTCCAAGCTTGTTGGCGCGTTACATAGACCATAGACCTCTTTTGTTCAATAAAAGGCGCGCAATACCGGTTATGGTATTTACAGCCGAGTAAAGGTGTTTCTGAGGATGTTTTGAAGAAGAACATGTAAATAATGAGCTGCACAGACATCGCTTGAAGCTGATGATGCAAACGGTTAACTCAAATCTGGAGGGACTTGCTTGATTCGAGGATGCTGAGTGCACGTAATACGCACCGGACTGAATCAGGTGCGTCTAAAGTATTTAAGGCTCTCAAGTTCTGCATCATTAGCAAAAGTCAGATTAATGGGGATGACCATAGTGAGGTTTTACCCCAGTTCAACAACCTACAAATGCTGCGCGCAGTAGGAGAAACCACAATATTGCTCAACAGAAAGGCCATTTTTTGAAAGCGACTCTTTGAGTTGGAATTGCAGGAATATGGTTAATTGAATTCAGACAACGAGCAAACATACTCAACTACAATCTGTTAATCCAGGCAGCATGCGAGTAGGATACAACAAAATCTACTGTAAGATAATGTTTGCAAACAGTATGCAAGCGTTTCAAAGTTAAACATACCAAGAGTAGACAACCCAACATATAAAGCCGCGTTTTTCAACTTTAAACAGACTGCATGTCTTCTTTATAGTGTGCTTATCATGGGCAACATTTTGCATGGCAATCAAATAAAATGCAAAATAGAGGCGCGAAAACGTCGTAACAGCTGCTGTCATGGATTTCGTGACAGAACAAAAAATGTCAAAGAGAAAAAACTTGAGGTGTTTCGACAGACGTCGGAGATAATAGCGATTCTACTCGATAGATCAGTGCCGGGTATTTTCAGCTTGTCCTCACGGATCTTTTCTTACATCGCCCAAAAAACATTCTTCCTCATCTATGAAACATGCAACACGCGCTCCTAACTTAATTCTTACTTTTGCCTCTCTTCAACATGTGTTCTATTTACATAATATGCTTTTACTACTCTGTCTTCGTCTGGTAGCTGCCATCACTTTGTGAAAACCCAAATTCGTAACGCTGTATACCCGGTGTTCTAAATAAACAGCCACGTAGTATCTATGTACTGGAGCTTTCAACTAACTCAGAGACCAAGAAAATTTACCGCACTGTACTTCTTCAAATAGTTTAAATTTCACGGCTAGGTTTTTTGGTTTAACGACGAATATTTCGTCTAAAGATGCTCACTAATAAACTCGGCAACCACATATCGATGCGTCGGGTGATATATGAAGTGCGGGACGGTAGCAAGCATACAGTGTTTTTCACCGTTCTGGTAGATTAACTGACACAATATATTTTTTCCAACTCCGATACACTCTGCCTTCAATTTGAGGCAATAACGTCACTAACTGTTGGGCATAACATGCGTTACAGATTTTGCGAACTTTCTAGGTTCTCTAACAAGAGTATTCACCAAGGAAGATTCTTCTCATCACTTTGCTTATATTTCTGGAGTGAGCAAAAGAATATAAGAGCACTCAGTCCTCCAGCAAAATGACTAATTTTCAGTGGGCTCTTAGGCTTTGAGACTCCTAGAACAATAGACATCACGGCAACTGCATCACCACCATCGTAGGATAAAAGAAGTAGTCATTCATAAAACGCTCTCATTTGCACACTACTTTGGTTTTACCGGGTGCACAAGTTAATTCAGATAAATATCCTCTTTATTAGGGTACGTTTTAACCGAAAGTGGTAAAAAGACTGCCTTGTGTTGGGTAGGATATTAAAGATGTTACAATACATTTTTAGATGTAGCACACTACTCATAGGATTACTGGAAACTCTTCAACAACCGAAGACAGGTTTCCCGTCCTTTGGGTTTGTCGGGTAGTTTCAGTCCCATCAGACGATCATAAATGAGAAGCTCAGCTGGATTCGGGTGAGTATCCATATCAGGAAGGTCAGTTTTTCGAAAGCAACCACTGAATGCCCGAAATCTACCGAGACTCTCAGCTCTGCTAGATGCTAACCAGACAACGCGAGTCAACGTTGATCAGGGTCAGACAACGCCCCCGCAATATGCAGCACGCCACAGCTTCGTACTAAAGCCAAACCGTGTGCGTCAGCATTGGACCAAGTTCAAACAGTGTCCGTCCAGTAAATAGCTTGAGACCGCTGTAATTTTTGCATCCGCACGCACTCACGCTCTCGCACTCACTTGTTTCGAAGATAGCTGTTGTGTTCCATTCTGTAGTCTTTTTCGGCAACTAGGCACTGGAGCGGGTCAGCAGCAGATACCACAGATTGACGAATCAGCAGATATAACAATCCAGTTTAGTCCAAGTTGGTGTGCAAACGGGATTGCCAAAGGAGTTCCTTCACGAAGAGTTAGCCTTATGCTCCCCCCAGAAATGCTAAGCTGGAGGAAACTGAGGTAAACTTTGGTGATCCTAGCACTCCGTCGGCGATGTAGACATTTAGATAACAAATTATTTTCGCCATATCTGAAAATTCGGATGCCATTGTTAATTTCGATACTGGATGAGTACAGAATTGTAACAGTACTTCTGGCTTTGAATATATGGAAATAGCGTACAAACTTTTGGCAACATTTGTCCGATCAGTTGCCATTTTTGTACTTTCAGAAGTCATTTCGAGGGAAGGTTTCACGAGCTTGTTAAATCTGGACACAAAGTGGACACGGGATTGTAGTGCTTTGATCCATCTGATTTTTTGAGGCAAATCCGCTGACATCTGACCTTGGCTGCAATATGGACTTTAGTGAAGCTGGATTGGGCCGTCTTTCTTGCTCCCTATTATTGCGTACTTGCCCGTCTATTTGCGTAAATTGTGAACCAAGTAGCGCTATATCGTCGACACAATCACGACCATTGAGGTCCTACAAAGGAGGAGATCGGACACTCACGGCGACAGACATGGCAATTTTCTCTGAAAATTGACCACTGAAAAATCAAAGTATAAACCTGTCAAACGATAGCTTTCACAAAGGCCACGCAGGATAACACTATCATCCTCACGGACGCTGGAGCGTACTGATAAGAAAGTGTAACGAGAATTTCATTAGTATCAACAGTTAGGTATTTTACCAAGGAAGCACGATCAATGGATTTAAATGTAGGAAGCCAATGATTGTTAGGTTTTTGTGTATGTCCTTGTTTGAAATCCCAAATTACCTGAATGAGTCCTCTTTGAATCCTAAACCCGATGTGGGTGATGTTTACTTTTCTCTCAATAGGAGTTTTCTACGCTGTCTTCTGTTATAATAAATTAGGTAACATTTAGTCGGAAAGCTCCTAGCGTGAGGCAGAGTTGGCGCTCTTCATCTGGTTACTCTTCTTTGGCTTTGTTGGCACAGTTGCACCATGGCACATTTAGACCGTAAAGGTCGCAGTGAAGGCCAACTTTTATTCGTAAATTAACAATGTAGTCAGCAGTACAGAAAATCATATAGGAATAGAATAGAATCATATAGGAATAACATGTGGCAAATGATCTGTCATTTTTCAACAGCCCTCGCGAGTACGGAAAGCTCATGTTGGTCACACAGTGTTCCACCGCCAAAAGTAATAAATATTCCCTGTGACCTACAGGTCTGCCTGGATTTTATCTGAATGTTTCGGGCTACACGGCTACAGCTCTTTGGAGGTTGCACCCAAATCCTCACGTACGTACGGTGGAGGTAATTTATACACCGATTTCGGTTGGAGACTGCGCAAATTTATCCACAGCCGAATTGAACGCACAGACACATACTTGCAAGGCACCGATTGATCAGCTGAAATGCACTGTCGTTCTTAACCCTTGGGTGCAGTATTCAGTAAAATCATTTGGTGTGACAGCAAAGCGCGGAGAAACCGTCCATTTGTCGCGCGTCATCACTACCGAAGAAGACGGTGAGTAAGATGCTTTTTTCTTCCATCTATTTCAAAAGGTTTGTTCCTATTGGTACAGACCAAGTCTCCAATACCACCTTACACTGGCCTATCTCTTGGTATTCTTGACAATGTTGGCTCCAGGGACAGAAGGCGCAAAACGCTTAGGCAACGCATCTATGACTTATAATCTAGCTAAAATTATTAAACACTGACAAATTTGACTACCGAAATGGAGTTTTTCTATCCAGGAGCATATAAAATCGACACTCATTTAGGTGGAATTATTTTTCAACGGTCTACCTGGCCGGCCAATGCATTCCATTCTTACTCAAAATGTTTACTGCGCCAAGTTTTTTAGTCATCAACTTATAATCCCTTAATGTTTTTATTCTTTTTTCAACTCAACAGTAGACAGACCATGATAGGTAGCATTCTAATGGAGTAAACAAGCACCTAGAATGTAAGCATGTTTCCTTAGATCAAAATGGATAGGAAACTCTTCATTAGTTCTGGTGCAAGGGGTGAGGAAACCCCGCTTCGTGCTTGAGAAAAGCGTAAACAAATTACAGAAACGATATTTTCCGTACGTCATTGGTTCTTAACTAGGGAGATCCGTTTCTTCGGAAGAACTGTAAGGTTTTGGGAGAATAGAGATCTGGTATTTGGAGGTACCTCAACTGCAATACTGATTAACAAGCCGGCTTTATGTGATCAATGTTCATTGGGTCACTTGTTGTTCTCATGGTATCTTGTTGATCCAAACGCCGAAAGCGGATTAAGGAAGGTAGAGAATATGCTGCATTTGAGCCCTCATGGTCCTCCAGCACACATGTAACCTGCCGTCAACAGCCTGCTAATTAGTTTGCGTGTTACAATCCTCAGTTTGAACCTGCATAGGCGTGATTCAGTGGTCCTAGACTTCATATTCTGAAGGACTTTATTTATTTGTCATATAGTATGCTTGCCGCTTTGAATTTTGACGGGTATTCAAGGCGATTCTCAGTGTGTTTTGCTTGACCTAGTAAATAACGCGATCAAAAGTTCCTCTTAAGTAGTGTCATTTCTAGAAGGGCTGGTGATCGTTTTCCTGGTAAAGTTCATTTTCCTTCTTGATTATGATTTCAATACACATGCTACAGTAATACTAATGAATCAAACTACCCCTACTTTATACTAATCAAGTAAACTTCTTCGGCTATTATTTGACCACGAACATTTTATTTATCACGATTGCCCAATGTCTCTTTTCACTTTCCCATAGTGCCGCTTGGTGCTCCACAGAACCTAAATTTGATTGGTGACCCAAGTGCTACAGATGCAGTTGTAAGATGGGACCCTCCTCCTTGCACAGCGCGTAGAGGTTCACTGAAGAACTGGGTTGTTCAAATTCGGCCGGATACCAACGTGGTCCTAGAACCAACAGATATGCTTATCTCATCCCCTCCCTTGCGTATTTCCAAACTACTGCCTGATACCAATTACGTTGTACGGGTGGCATTTAGGAATTCCATGGGTATTGGTCCATTCTCAGAGTTGGCGTTTGATACGAAAGCACAAGGTGAGCATAGGTTAACATATTACACTTGCAATGTTGCAACTTCACCTAATTTTTTCAAGTATTCTAAACACATAGCTGTCAGATTCTATAGTTTCGGTCGGTTATTGCCCACATTTGAAACGAATAAGAGCAGTGACCACCACGTGCTGTTTAGAGGCCTCCATCATTGCTTGTCACTCAGCGGAACATAATGAAAATCATTTATGGACATCAGGTGAAGCCATGATTTTCTCATTATTATTCTGGTGAACATTCTGGTGAGTGTTATAACATCAAAACTAACTTAGCTAAGTAAACCCAAACTACCAAACCTCAGTTGGTATCTGGGTATTATTCCTCCCTTTGGAGAATGACGCGGTTGAAATGTGGCTCCATACCCTCCGTCTCTCGAAAATTCGTGGCATATCCGTGAAACGGAAACCAGGCTATTCAACCAGTTATACAACCCCCCTCCTACAAAACAGAACCTTTCTTGGCCACCCACGGGTGGTTTGAAATTTACAATGATTTGAGGCCATTTATTCCGGTACACCACTTCTCCGAAAGTTTTGTTAAAAGTTAACAAGGTCACATCCGTCAGATACGATCACTAGTGAACTATTGATCGACTGAATGATAAGCACAGGTGAACATGCATGAGGATCAAATACAGTTTGCCAGTGTGTATGGTCGCAACGTACTAGTCACGAATGTTGCCGTTGCGGTTCGGAATACTGAAAACAGGACTTCCAGCTCAGTCAACAAAGCGGGTGGACAGATTTTGTCCTCCTTCACTGTACAGTGGACTAGAGAACTCGACCAATGCGGGACACTAAGCTTTGTAAGAAAGATAGGATTGTTGTGATTATGATAGGCGAATCGATTTCACAAACTTTCTTGGTAACACTTGTGATGGTTTGTCTAATGTCTCCATTTGACTGGATGCAGAGTCACATATTGCTTAGGTCTCCTCCGTTTCCTGGCAAACTTTCGAATGAACCTTCCTGTTTTCTTCGTTTTTTCGATGTACCAATAACATTCTTGACTTCCACTGGTGGGAACATCGGATTGGCAAGGCTGAGGTACACCAGATGGTCCTTGAAAGAATTAACTTTCACACGACAGATGAATTACTCACGCTTCATTGCTTGCTTGGTTGGGACATGTACTCCGCATACCAGAAGACCGTTCGCCTCACAGGGCTCCTTTTTTGAGTTCTGTGCTCAGAGGTGGTCAACGTATGACCTGGCAACGAAGTGCGAGAACACCAACCAGTAAAATTAGTCGGGTGAGCAACTGCCGTCTCCCTGGATGGGGAACCCCGGGACTTAAATAAACAGTGATTAATGACATTGGCGAGAATGACCCAATCGCGCAGTCAGTGGCGCTCGTGCATCAAAGCTATCATCTTCAATGCGTAGCCACTCAATATCCGAACAAATTGAACATGCCTTCGCCTCCAAGGCTCGGTTCTGTAAATTCCACTTTTCCGTTTTAGGGTGAGCAAATTTGTAGCAGCTGGAACCAATGTGTCTATGGCATACGGTTTATAGCTGATAAATTGATTGAACTGAATTGGACTTATTCAGTTCTAAGACATGGTGCAATCCTATTCTTTCTTGCATGTTCACTTTAACGTTTATTGTATTCCGCATAAACCGTCGCCTGGAAATCCTCAAGAAATGAAGAATAAAGTCTCGAGGGAACAAACTACTCACGAGGCTGCTGAAAACTCGTCTACAGCCCAACACCAGTTTATTCCACCTTGTCGTGTTCTGTGGGAACAATTTACGGAGATATCTTGAAAACCCTACCAAATGAACTATGGGAATGTCTTTGTTCAACTGTTTCGGTTGAAGGGTATCACCAACGACAGATTCACCTGGGATTCAGCTAAGTCTCCCATTAACAACAACTCCGTTCGCTAGTGCGTTTATTCCTCATAAAAGCTACTGTATGTGACTTATCTGAAGTGCTTAAGTTACCTGTGAGTTGAAGGCGATTTCTCGAGAACAACCGTGAGTCTGGGTCAGCAGTTTTCTTACTTCGCCTTAGCGATGTGAGATGCTGTGCTACGTGACATAAGCATCGCTTACTTTGGCCTAAAAAGGGATATGGTTTCATGACGAATACATAACTCCACCTTGCTGTAAAGGCTAAACTGCAATTCTCTCCTCTCACCCTATTACATAGCTTTCGTAGTGTGGACATTATTCTCCCAAACATTAGATCATCTAAACACTTGTTCACAGTCTTTGTAGAAACTACATAGGTTGATCTTACATCACAAAGTTCGTAATTCCGTTAGGTTGACGTAGCTTGCATTTAACCAACCAAAATATTATCTAATCGCCAGCAGAAAGACAAAACCTGACTGGTCACATGGACTTCGTCTCATTGCCTCGTAACCTTGCTTATGCATCTCATGAAGCGATTATGCCGTGTCCCAAGGTCACAAAAATATCGCTCATGTTACACTCGGGTTGGCTGGTGCTTGTTTGTTGATTCGTCATGACAACCGAATTGACAGCAGATTGTGCGACGTTTGCGTGCAAAATCTCTAGTCTGCGGGTCGGTTTGGATGCAGCCTCGGTTCTGTAACACTAGCTGTTTATTGAACCTGTTTTTTTAAGGACGACCTCCTGCTGTCACTCAGAAAATCGGCCTGATTTTTGTTGATTTGAACGTCAAATATCACTTCCACGCCGTACCTAGATGAATTTACTAAGACAATCGCCTGCTCTTGGTCCCCATAGAGAAACTCAGTCGACATGACGAGACAATGCGAATGCGTTTGGAATTCTCTTACTCCTAACCAGGACGGAACAATGGGTGAAATGTGACGAATGCATCCAATCGACCCATTGAATCCATAGGACTCAACTGGGTGGCTGAAGTCAGCTGTAATAACCGCGTACTTGTCGTACAGTGGTTGTAGCTGCCACAACAGCTGGCATTTGTGTTTCCTCAACAGTAGACTAGCGATTTCACCTTACACCCTTTATTTCAGGCGATTGTACCTATAATTTCAGGGCATCCAGTGTAAAGTCGAGCGATGTTCTCGTTACGGTATGCCGTCCTGTTGCGTCAAATTCCAAAAGAATTCGACAGATAAATTGCATATACATAACAAACCAGCTGTGTTGTAAATGTGCTTTGTCCAGTAGAATCTTCCTGTCAATCATCCTTTGAGTTTCCTAACCAGGTGATCACCTGTTTCGTTCTTGAGCAGAACAGGCTGTCTTAGCATCATCGAGAAGTTACGGAAACAGTTTTGCCCTATGACCAACCATACGGTTTGAGTTGCCCCTCTTGTCTAACTACCGGCTGCTGAAAAATTCGGGCATTCATCCGGCGACTGTTGAGTGGTTGAAGGTGGTTGCCGGATCATTCATCAGGTCTCAAGACACTGCCCGAATAGGAAGTCCTGCCAGATGGGACACTCGATCGACATTGCCAGGAGAGTTGCTGATTTTTCGTTGGCGCTATCGAGCCGGGCGGTCATATCGCTCAAACGTGAACGGGTTCATCCGTTTAGGCGCGTTCAGCACGCATCGTTGGACAAGTGGTGTAGAATATCATAAACAAGGGATTCAGTTGAGTCTCTCATGGAAACCAAATTGATTTGCAAATGAACGTACTTCTCGAAAGTGGTAACCTACTTGTTTTACATGTCGAAAGCCCGGGGTCCTAATCCCAACACGGTCACCTGTTGATTTAGACCTACCAAAATAGTTATGTCACAGTATGAGGAGAACTATTCTGATGAGTGATATGTATGCAAATGCTAGCTAATAACCAACTAATTTTGCGCAGTTCGTCAGTGATCTTCTTGGGGGCGTGATATTCACCAAGTCACGTACTTAGAATTTTATCGGGTTTTAAAAGTGAAGGCGTGATTGGAACCATTAAACATTAGAATCAGTTACATTTGTTGATAACTCTCGATAGCTTGAAAAAGAATGGTCCTACTTGCTGCATGCATCACGATAAACCGTTGTGTCTTCCAACTTCCTCAGACGAAAGATTTAACTACACTTTTTTTTACAGTGATGAAAGTTTTCGCTGAGAGTCTGAATTTGGCCTATTCGAGGGGTTTGCAATGCATCCTCACAACACAGAATGTTTTATACTTTACCTATCCCTGTTCTGTTACTGTTAGGTTCCTATGGTCAAAGTAGGTTAGCACCTTATTTACAGCGGCGTTCCAGTTACGGCGACTTCTGCCAGTACAAACAGGACACTCAGAATATAAACTACACCTCTCTACTGATGCTACTAGGAAGGCAATGCTTGGATCATCTCATTTTTTACATTGAGATAAGTGACCTGCATATGTTTTGAGTGCTGGTTAGATGGACCAATTTGCCAATTTTAGGTTTTCCAAAAGACGTCCTTGTAACCGATATCAAGCACGACTCATGCCTGGTTACGTGGCTGCCACCGGAAACCAAAAATGGAAACGGTGCTCTTTCTGGATTCGAAGTTCAACATTGGCCAATAAATTTGACTATAACTCGGATAGCAAGTCCACTGATACCACCAGACCAGACGAGCTATTCTATCAACAATTTGGAGGCGGATACGGCTTATGGCGTGCAGGTTAGTGGTTCATCGTTTCCAGTACAACTGTGATTTTTAACCTGCATTGCACTGGCAACGTTTCGCTGTCTCCGACCCGTGTGGAACAATACAAAGCCTTACAGGATGAGACAAGATTAATTGCACTGGAGTTCAATTAGTTGAACCAAATCCGGGTTATCTAAACACAAAAAAGCATTAAATTAAAAAATCTAACCTAATCGCTATTATTATTCATGAGTTATGGATGCCAGTAGCTCCTCACCACGGTCCTCCTTAATGGAGGCTATCTGTACGGGATGTTGAGAGTAACCTTGCTGTATTTGCTGATGAAGGAGTTTTAAATTCCAGACTGACCTATGCACGTCGTCGATACTCACACCACTCGCTGAAGGTATTTGAGGTAAACGCGCAACACTGACCAGACACAGTCCTTCCAGTCAAAGCTTATGTCTTTCGTTCTCGTCCTTCACTCCAAACTGATAAGCTATGGAAGCTTTTTTGGCAGCAGCTATTTAAATGAAAGCTTTGCTGAGAATAGCTGAACCAAATCGCCACTTCTTATCTTTTGGAGGCGCTTCATAATTTATTGGTTTTTGCCAAATCAAATCATAAGTTGTTTGAGGGGCCAGTTGGTCACCTCACCTAAGCAACCTTAAAACAGGTGTTTATCACATCTTTGGTGCACTAACATTTGATATGCAATGGGCTAATTTAACAATAAGTTGCAGTTCAATCAGATTTGAAGTGACTTACACGTCCTGTCTCCCTTGGACTTCGGTGGAGTCCAAGACAGTTTCAAGTCACTGAACAACTTTTTTTGTGAGGCGATCGCGAAAGTGAATTTGGTACCAGTAGCACTTTTGCTGGTGAAGTGGTCGAAAAAAACGAGGATGGCAAATAATTCCAGATATTTCACCACCTGTCTCTGGTCTCACGACGACGTTCATTCATTTATAAATGATTCTCTACCATTAGATTCTAGTTTTATTCAAAGTTTAAAGTTAATCTTTCTGAAACCATTACAGCCGAAGAATTTTTAACGGAAATCACAAGCATGTCAGTTCAGATGGCGTCTACTTCGCGTGACCTTAAGTGTGTGATGATTCAGATGATTCATTACTGAGCATCACAGTCAGTTCCTACTGTTATGTCAGGCTAGTGCTACTCTTTCTTTTCTGTTTTTTTTACGTGGATACAGGAAAGTTATTTTTTTTGAGGTCACGCACTTTACTATGCTCACCTTGATTGGTCTAACTCGTGTAATGTGGCGCACAAATATGATCAAAGTGCCTCAACATATTCTTAACTTAACTGCGTGGTAGCATAGCAATGAAGATGTTTAACTATTGACGCGAGAGATTCGAAATGAGAACGGAGGCAACGCTTCTGACTGAAATGACCTGTTTTAAAATGAAGCGTTTTGTGAACAATAGGCATGAAGTTGCGTCATTTTCTTCAAACCTAGGTAACGTTTTAGTTCAGTTTTTAGTGCTTCTACGCATCAAGGAATTTTAGATGAAGCACTATTTTGGTGGACACTAACAGCTCATAAATAGAAATGACTATTATAAACACTGAAATGATGACCTGCATCAAGCTATAAAGTTTAGAGTTCATTAATTTTAAAGTCATTGGATCGCTTCGCAAGCAGTTTGTAAAGCCAAGTTTTTCACCCAGAAGCAGTTAATTTTTAAATTCCCACCAACTCCTACTTACTGCACACTGTATGCAAAACCGTTTGCGTTCAAGGTCTTCAGTATCTTTGGAACTCGTCGTGTGTCGTCGAATATTCTCTCTTTTGAAACGCTACCACTATCAGTCGCACGGAGCGGCATAACGCTTCAGCTCATCGGCCGTTCTTCATCGACCATTCGCATAGCTTGTGGCGTACAAGGTGTTTCACTATCTCCGGGTCAGCAATTTATGGTAAGTTTAGTCATTCACTATTGGCAAGATTTACCATAGTACAACAAGTCGATGTATATTTTGAGTTGAATAAATCTATCGTTTGTGACGTTGGCGAGATCTCATCAAGCATTATTGGTATGTGGAAAAAGATGAACTAATCTTCGATGGCCCACATTATGAAATTATGTGCAGCTGATTGAGGCTTTCCAACTAAACCTTGAATAGCTTCGATCGTTCAACTTCGGTGATCAAACTGGAATCGACTGGACTCATTCTCTAGTTTTCATTGCCTTCTCAGGGGTCTAATAAATGTGTTGGTCGAGTGATTTCTATCACATCAGAGATGTTCACTTACGTGTGCGGGCATTTAGGGTACGAACGCTAAGCAACTGCCCTTTCATCAGTTCTTGTTCCCTGACACAGAAAGGCAGATACTCATTACTATGCAACAACGTCCTCGTTTTGCATTTCGCAGCACCTATATTCGTTCGAATAATAGGTGGCATGGAGAATTTCCCGCATGTTTACTTCATAGCCAGGCCAGGAAGAGCTGTATTCTGTCTAAGTTTAGCCGCACGTTCCGTCATATTATTCTACGGGTAAAGCTTAATGATATCTGTATACCAAAAGGACATTGTGGCTCGACTTCAAGAGGAGTTAGGTGCAACTTCAGTCCCATCACTTTTTTCTGTCCATCGGTCCTCCTGTTTACTGGGACCACTTTTACAGAATGAATCTCCGCTTGAATGTGCCACACGCAGGACTCAACGAAATAATCGAGCATGTTGATTAACTTGGTTCCTGTCGCTTATCGCCTGCTTGAGAATTTCTGTTGAACTGCGCCTGAATTGTTTTTCCTGGTGTTCTCATTAAACCTAACGTTCACTTTAATGGGTTGGCTTACCGATTAGTAGATGTTGACGGGCAAGCTGTGCTTGACTTCGGACACTGAACAATATGGCATCTAACCGATATCAGTGAAGCTCATGCTGTCAGTTTCTCTTCAGAGTGAGGGATGCTTATGGTGATGATACCTCTGCTGTTTGTGGTATGTTAGCCCTAGGTCCCCATTCCCGTCCTTCTTCATACTTCTCTTCATTATAAGGCTTTGTTCAAATTAAATTACATGGTTGTACGGCGATGAAGCACGAGTGTTCTCCCCTGGTGTTGCTGCCACTGGGGATGATGCTGGCACTTTGTCAGACTGCCGGTCATTGACTATCCTCATTCTCGAGGTCATTCTTTTGGCGCTTTTCCTCCTCATTAAGACTTTATTCTGAACACAACAGCCTAATGACTGAAATAGCACCTTTGACTCAAATGTTACGTCATCTGATGCATCTTAGATTAGTTATTGGAGTGTCTACTCGCAGAATTCCGGCTTACCTTGCATCATTTGGGAATACAAAGCCTGAACTATTTTTCAAACCATTCTTGATGCCTAGAGATGTTCGGAGAAACAGATAAGATTGTTATAAATGATTTTGTGCACCTAACTGTATTTTTAGTCACAAATGGATCAAAAGCGGCCTTCTGAATAGCGTGTAGTTAATGCAGCTTTAAGCCGTTCGCTCACTCCTGAGTTTAACCCAGTCATTACGGTATCGTCACTTCAAACTCTTCAAAATATTAATGAACCTATGAACCACAACTGCATAATTCCGGGTACCACTCGAAGAAACTCAGCAGTAATGGTCTCTTCTGACTTTTGGGCTCTCATAAGAAGGACCAGAAACCGGATTTTTGGGGGAAATATCAATTTTATGGTATTTTCAACTGGTTTCCATTGTTGGTTCCACATCAATTGAAATATTTCGAATTTTAAAATCATGTTTCAGTGCAGACGGTCGCTTGTTCTGCCGCTCTAGACTTCTACCGTCAGTTATGTTGCTGACCAAAGCGCCATCCATTAGATGCCCTTGGCTCATTTGAAGCATTTTACCGCACAGTACAAAGAAGGAGAATGCTTTCCCCGAATGCTTTTTCCCGAACTTTCGTGTTTTGACCTCATGATCGTCAAAGCCAAATAGCCCGTGCCTTCTGAAAATTCAGCTTGCTAAAAATAACCACTACAAACGCTCGTGTACATTACCTCTCCTGTAATACTATGCATACCATATGCATTGCCCATCAGTCGCGCTAACCGAGGCACCTGTTATTTGTGCTCGGCAAACAGTGGTTCGTATATGATCCGGTTATCTAGTGGCAAGTGAAAGCAAATGTTTCATTGTATTATCCTACGGTGACACTTCTTGTTGCTACGCTAGCTCCAAGCACTTACAGCAAACTCTTGATTATCTCTAGTTCGTTCGAACAAAGGACATGAACCCCAATGGCAGAACGACGAGTAAAAAAGGTGTCAAGAAACTGCAAAACCCTCTCTAGGTTTATTGGATGCTGGCTTTGTCACACAGCATGCTCGAGAAATAAATGCTGCTTAAAATGAAGACTGTGAAAGAGACACCTGTAACTAATACATTTCAGTATCAAAAGCATGATATTCAAACACGTTTTGAGAAATGTGTGACGATAACTCAAAATGGCATGTACGTTCACAACGGTCGGCGGTTCCTCCACCAGTATAATCCAAAAATCCTTAGATTCTTCTAACTGCAATGTATAAAGTAAAGCAGTCTTACACTATGGCTGTGAAACTTCGCCTTCCGAACTGAAGTCCTAAAGCATCTCCAAACGTTTGATCGCGGGAGCCTTAGCAACCAGGACTTAGTTGGCTGTAGAATCAGAACAGAACAGAATAGAACAGAATCTACAAGCAGAATCGCTGTATCCGCAACAAAACTCATCAGTTCACGGTGGTTGACGTATGTACTACGCTGTCGCAAAACTTTCGTTTGACCCATCGTGGGAACTTGTATTGACAACTCACGGCATCAACGGATGCGTGTTTGAATTTCAGATGTAGATTTGCAGCCTGTGGTGAACAATGTGTCCTTGTTAGACAGCGTTAGGAGTGTGCGTCTCAAGAATCTGTGCGTAGATTTGAACCTGAAAACACCTAAACTGCAACATTCATCTGCGGGGAGTGATGAATACTGATTTGGTTTGCACTAAGACAGGATATGGAACCAATTATCCAGGCATCAATTAGTGGTTCAATCTGAGTACTAATCTCAAAACCACAACATTCACTAGCTGTTTCAAGAGAGTAAACAAAATATTTTTCTCACAGGTGACCTCTTTAGAGAGGATTGGCTGTTGAGGAGAGTGTTTACAACACTAAATATTTACACAACACTTGCAGCGCTTGTTTCTGCTTTGGTAATGTGGTGAAATATTGGTAGCTTCATCTGCTAAAACTGCTAAAAACAAGAAGGCTCATCTAGATGGCAAATTCTCAAGGCTGATTAGGAACCAGGATTGCTTCTGCTTTGTAAAAAACATTGAGTTGTTGTAGTTCTATCTTTCAAAAAAGCGCATCATGCCTTAAACCACTTATTTCACCCGTTTATCCTGAGTCTGGTCGCCAGAAAGCTCAGTGCCTAGCTGACCTCGCCGTCGTCCATGTCCTTCGGTTTCGATAAGCCATGAGCATCCACCGGAAGCCTTTTGTTGCCTCTTAAAGTACCAGATAATCGACAGTTTCTGGTCTTGTTGCAACTTAACGACGTCGAACGAAATCGCAAAAGCCCATTTCCGTATGCCAGTTCGAACGAGAAAACTCGAGGCATTTCTGGCTGGTGATTTATGTACTAACAAAACGGGCAGCTTATCAGGAGTCGATCAGTTCTCTGTATTCAGTGAAAGTTACTCGACAACAAAGCTCAACAAGATCTAGGTTCAATTTTACGCCTGTCCCATGACTGCTTCCGTATTTTTGGATTTGGAATTCCCAAGACCATTGTTTTGTCTGTCTAGTATGTCACGTTTGCGACAAAAAATGAAATTTGGAAATTTATTTTCCCTGTATTTTGTTTTCAAATTCGAGAAAAACACACGAGAAATCCGCTTTTTTAACGCAATTACGGTCGGCGAAAAGTGAAAAGAACTAACCGACGTTTGCCGTAGACATATGCAATAGATAAGACACGATTAAGGCATAATATATTTGATGCTGTCGTCATCATATCCGATATTTACCCCTGAAGGCCTCTTCCACTGTGGGATGAAATTGTTTAAACAGTCAAAATTTGAATTTAAAATTCCAGCTTGATGCAGCAGATGAGAACACCAGGTTCCCACGGTCGACTGTCGATTGCATATTGCCAAGCTTAAAGTTTGGATAAATGTATAAGTTTCTTGGGCGGTAAATCTCACCCGACAAACTGCTGTTGTTATTCTTGGCTGAGGTTGACATTTGGATGGAATTACCCAAAATCCATCGAATGGACCCGCAGTAAATTTCTGGGCGTTTCTCCTAGTGTGTAATGTGTGAATGTTAAATGTGCAAATCTGTATGTGCATGTGTGAATATATGGGACTGTTTTCTGGTAGAAATCTAATTCGACCGATTCAGATGTACTGTGACCCATAATGACAGGCGGATCTTCTCGTGCACGCTATCATGACAAACCCGACACGCCTTTAGGTGTCGGAACCTCGTTCACAAGCCGTGGTTCCAACAGTCTGACAATGCTGCATTAGCCAGGCCCTGGGCTTCGTAACACATCTTTGAGTTCTCACGCTGGAAGGCTTAGGAGGCTTGCAAGTAAAGCATGTGTCAACAAAAGAGCACTATCCATCGGATTGGTTCAATAAGTTGTTTTGATTCGAAGAGTAAGATGAACCGTGGGTAAGCGGTCGATTCGGTTGCTGACAGCAAAAGAAACGTGGATGACTGATCCTCAAGCGATCCCAGTTCATTCGGTCAACAATAAAGAGTTATTCGAATAGCCTTCCCCGACCAGGATTCTGGGACCGACATCAAAAGACAAGTGATCAGATGGCAGCTATACCTTGTAAAAGAAGGATGTCGTTGCTAAAAACTGCTAAAAACAAGAAGGCTCATCTAGATGGCAAATTCTCAAGGCTGATTAGGAACCAGGATTGCTTCTGCTTTG